AGCGCGCGGGGCGGGGGCAGCGCGCGGCGGGGGAGCGTGCGGGGCGGGCAGGGGGCCGGGGGCGGGCGGACCGACCGACGGACAGACCGACCGGGTGAGAGGATGTGAAGATGGCGGAGCTACAGATGCTGCTGGAGGAGGAGATCCCGGGGGGGCGCCGGGCCCTGTTCGACAGCTACACGAACCTGGAGCGGGTGGCCGAGTACTGCGAGACCAACTACATCCAGGTGCGCGCGGGCCCCGCGCCGGCCAGGGCAGGGGCGCGCGCGCCCCGCCGCTCCCGCGGGAGCCTCTCCGGGAGCCTCTCCCGGAGCCCCCTCCCGGGGCTGCTCCGGCCCCGCGGCAGCGGCAGGGCGGCAGCTCCGGCTGCTGCAGCCTGGGGAGGGGGAGGAAGGCTGGTTCATCTCCGGCGTGAGCTGCCCCGGCGTGACGAGGCGTTTGAATGTGTGACTGATTCCTAAACTGAATTCCTTCCACTTTTTGGGAGTGAATGTTCATTCCAGATTGTGCCTCTGTCGCTCCTTTTCGTTCCCTTCCCCACGTTCCGCGCTCCTTTGCTGCCGGCGCTGTGGTGATAAACCGAGGGATAGCTGACTCCTGCAAATACGGTTAATTTAGGGCACAATGACATATGTTTTAATAGGGATGTGCCTGTCAGTTCGTATTTCCCTTCCCGAGCAGGACTGTGGAATTCCATGGGAAGGGCAGCTACCAAGCGGTGGGTGCAGGATGAAACCATGATGTAGTAAGAGATGGTACAGAATTAGGGAGAAAGAGATCGAGTACAAGTTGCTACCGCAGTGTGTGATTTTTGCGGTGGCTGCTCTGAAACCAGGTTGGTGTTAGGACTTTGCTTTTTTCCTTTCTCTTTTTAGTGGAAAGAAAAGCAAAATATTGGCAATTTGCTTTGGTAGTGGTGGTAGGGCCAAATGAAAGACTTTGCCCTCAAACAAACACAAAAAGACACCTTAAAAGGTGTGCAGGAGAGAAAGGCAGAGGGGGTGGTGTGGATTTGTGGTGTCAATGTTGAGAGAATTACAGAGGATCTCAATATTATTTTTGCATTCAGTACTCGAAGTGGAGAGTTCTTATGGGTTTCCAGAGGGCAGCGAGGGATGAGATCTGTGGTGACACTATTCTGTCAGTGAAAATGGGAGAGACTGTTTAACCAGTGGCAGAGAATACTTAAAATGTCCCTATAAAAAAAGCTCTCACTGTTTCTTTTGAATTGCTGAATGACCAGCTGTCCTTTAGAGAGAAGACTTTGCACATTTTGGGTCATTTACAAAACATGTCAATTACAGTGAAATTATATAGATGTATTTTATTATGTAATAACTTTCCCTATGTTGAATTAGTGTGACTTAGGTTTTTTAAGAGACATATGTTGAAATATTTTCTTACAGTTATAACCTGAAATACATGTGTTTGAATTTATGCTTTTTTTAAAACTGTGGAACTGATTTTTCTGGAATAAGGGAGAGGCGTGTTGGAAGGCAGAACCAGAGAGGAAGAAGGGCATGTAGTTTGGATTTTTTTTTTCTTTGACCTTTTTTTTTGTTCTTTGTATAAACCAAAGTTCAAAATCTCTATTGAACAGCTCCACTTTTAATGTTTTAATGAAACTGCAGAAGAGGACTCCATGCTGTTTTGTACAAATAGAGAATGAAAAAAGGTGGTTACTGCCCCAGACAGCACACAGTCCGTAAGGACAGTATGAAATGATAGGAGACAGATGCAGACAGATGGTGAATGAAGGAAAAGAATGAGGCACTCTTGGTCAGCCTGATGGATTCTGACCACCACACAGCAATATCCCAACTGTTGGCAATTTATCCAAGGATCATGACAACACAGAGCTTTAAGGGGGAGGTGAGAATTAAGGACTGAAATTGTGTTGTGAGCGTTGACCGTGAGGTGCAGTGTGGGTCACAGCATGAACATGTTTAAATTTTTAAACAAGTGAGGAATGGAGAACATAGCCAGGCAATAAGCTCTGGCCTTTGGAGTTCTCTGAGACGTCATAAAGTGGGTTTATTGTAGAGAAGAGGTCCAGTGTGAGGGGATTCTGGATTTAGTGATGTGAGTGTCCTAGTAACAAATCTGTCAGCAAGCCCACCCCACCTTCACGGTGCCAGAGCTACGTAAACTGCTGTACCAGATCTGTAGACAAAGCTGATTTTTTCTTCTCTACAAGAGAAGAATAGATAAATGGATATAACTGTTGGTTAGTTGGATACTTGTGATTTTGCTTCTAATAACATTTATTATGCTGAAGTTAATATGTCCAATTAATGACAAATGATGTTCAGAGTAGTAGTCTTGAATTTTGTGGGGAAGATGAGTTTGTGACTGCTCTGAAATGTGTGGA